CCTAGAGACAGAACATGGCAAAAGATGCTGGACAGAACCTGGCTACAGAACTTGGTTGGAGAACCTAGACAGAACCTGGCTGCAGAAGCCGGCTACAGAACCTGGCGACTGAACCTGGCCGGAGAACCTAGCGAGAGAACATGGCTACAGAACCTGGCTGGAGAACCTGGATAATGTGGCTAGAGAACCTAGCAAGAGAACATGGACACAGAACGTGGCTGGAGATTTGGCTAGAGATCCTGGCAAGGCTGCTGATCAACTGAACGCTGTCTCCGTGTCATTCCTTCTTCGCCGACTCCGTCCACACCTTTGGGGACCCCTGGACCTGCTGGGGTTGGACCCCAGCAGTTCCATCGCGTCGCGCCTTGCTTTCCCTCATTCACACAGTAGAAGGTGCATTGGTTAAGCTATTCTAAATATTCATCTGAAGTCAATGAAAATAGAAATTTCAAACTTTCTGGTACTGATAAGATAGAAAAGCAAGATAAAGGGTCTTATTGGTTATACTTTAAATTAGGGCTTTTAAGTGATCCTATCTAATAAAAGGCTAATATGCAAATTGTCCGCTCGACTGGGAGTTCAACCAGGAGTTTGACCAGGGGGTGGTGCTGGAGGGCCACCCCACCCTTGATCAGCCCCTCCAACCCTGATTGGAGGCAGGCTGGCTGGCTAACCTCCCACGTCCCCTCCCCTGGCCACCCCACCCGTGATCAGCCCCCCAACCCTGATTGGGGGCGGGCCGGCTGGCCAACCTCCCATGTCCCCTCCCCCTTCCAGCCCTGCCCGATTGGCCACATCAGGGCGGGCCGGCCGAACCTCACCTGTGCACGAATTTGTGCACTGGGCCTCTAGTGAAGAATAAAGCTGACGTGTGATTTTACAAGGAAAATCTTTCCTGGGAAAGGTGTTCCTAGGTTAAGGTACAGCTGGCCCTGAGCAGTGAGGCCAAGGTTTTCAGATCCCTCCTCCCTTGAACGGCACCGCGGGTCCCCAAGGGCAGGGCTGGAGCGACCCGGACGAGCTAGAGACGTGTTAGTGTCACAAAAAGGATGTTTGTAAGGAGTTCTTATTACTGAGAACATTCCAGCAGGTTTCCGGGATGTACCCCATGGTATTCAGGCATCACAGACTAGGTTCAGCCTAAGGCACGAGCGAGACCCCCTTCTATAGAGGGTGGGGTGGCGGTGACCGCGCCTCACAGCTGCGTAATAAATATTGGATTCTTCCCACCCTGCAAGTCCCTGGGTCTCATCACACATATCGGACACACGTCTAAAGGGGTAACTGGGTACATGCCAGATCCTTCCGGAAGCTCACGAGTTTCTTACACGGGGCCGCTGAGCAGGGAGACCAGGGGAGCAAAGGGAGGACGTTCTCTTTGCTGCCGTCCCGGCTCTTCCTCTGCGTGGTGTCCGGAGTCGCTGCCAGCGGTGATGGCCTTGGGCCGTATGCTCTCCACCACGGCTGAGAGCATGGCTCCCGCCGCCTTCGCCCCTTGCATCAGGGCCTGCTCCACCTGCAGGGCAGACCCGTTCACAGGACACTCGGGCAGGACACTTGTGCCCAGCCCCACCACCACCTCGCCGTCCCCCTCAGGAACCGGCCTGCCTGGAGCCTTTCCCGAGAGCAGGAAGCAACCTGTGCTCCAGTTTCAAAGGCCCTGGAGCTGCACAGACCCAGAGAAGCCAGGACGGCCGGCCCGGGCGCACATGGTGCAGGCCCCGGGCTCCTGGTCCCTCCCTGCCTCAGAGGCATTCAGCCTGGGGTTTGCCTCCAGTGTGGGGGTGTGGGTGGGGTCGGGGGGCTCAGAGGCAAAGGGCCTCAGAGCAGCACAGCCCCTGGGCCCTCATTCTGCAGATGAGTACACAGGGAGCCAGGGCGGGACCTCCCTTGGACCACGTCACACAGTGAATTAGTGCACGAGCTCAGGTCTGGGCCCAGGATTCGGAGGAAGGAGGGCCTCCTGGAATCCCTTGACCCCCGGGATCTCCTCTTTGTGTACAAATGCTCAAGGGGTGGGGGACCCCTCGTCCCAGCGCCCACCACGGTCGTCACTGCCACAGGCCTCCCAGGGGGGATGCAGAGGAGGAAGATGCAGAAAGTGAGAAGCAGGAGGGCGAGCGTGGGAGGCGCCCCCAGTGGCCTGGGGATGGGGTCGCACAGTACAGAGACCAAGGCTGGGATCTGCCCAGGGCATTAGGAAAACATAGGGAACGTGGACGAGAACCTAGAAAAATGACGTGCCTCATTAAATCCTTGATTTTGAAAACCTGCTACAAGGCGGTAATGCATACTTCCTCTGCTCTTCTCATGGGGTCTCAAGAGGAACCAAATGCCACAAGAGCAGCTCACACTGGCTCGGGGATGTAGCTTCCCAAGCCCTTGTGCCACATTGAATGTG